GGGAGGTGAGAGATAGACAAATACATCTCATGTCTTAAAAGCAAGCACAGATCATCTGTGTATATTTGTTCCTCTCATAAATACCATGCTCTGGAAATCACAAATTTGCTCCTGAGGGGTAATTGTCACTGAATGCTCACTTTGCTTTTATTCTGTGCCACTCTTCCACTCCATAGAGCGGTAGAAGCCAACCTTTTTGGTAGGTGTGCCACAAATTAACCCCATGCCTTCCCAAAGTGCTATCCCAATTCTTTTCCTCTGTCTGATCTGCTGTTCTGCTTTTTGCTTCCTGGTCCGGTGCTCCCCCCCTATTTGCTGCTCTGCTGTCTGCCTCCAGCCCCGTGTTCAAGGGCTGCAAGAAGCTATGGGTGTTGATTCAATTCGGAGGAGATTTGGCCCAATTTGGTGGCCAAATCTCCGAATCCTAATGGAATTGGGGGACCAATTAAAAGGTTCGAATCGATTCGAAGCTCTCCGAATCTTTGTGAAAGATTTGGAGAACTTCGATGATTCAGACAGTCCCTGGTGGGGACAGTCCCTGGTGGGCTCCATGCTAGTAAGTAGGAGGTGGGGTAGGGGGGGCCAGAGGAGGGGGGATGGGACCATGGGGAGACCCCTGCCAGGCCCCATCTCCTGTCCCGCAACCCCCCCACCTGCTCCCCCAGCCCCCTATGGCTGTCCCACCCACCCTGGCTCCTGGCCCTTTAAAGAAAAGCCCCAACTCACTGTGTGCTGCTGGGCAGGGGGGCAATCCCCACTGCCCCACACTGCATGGGTGCTCTGTATGAGCCCTCTGACCCTCCACACACCCCCAGCCCTGCCACGGGTGCCCCACCCTCTGCGGCTCCAGCCTTTTAATAAAAAAAACAGAGAAAAACCCTGGGACTCGCTGGCAACTGCTGCAGCCTCAGGGATTCGGGGGGCTTGTGCAGAGCCCCCCACATGGCATGAGGCAGCAGGGAGCAGCGGGGATTGCCCCCCACTGACAGGAACAGTGAGTGTGGGGGGTTTTTGAGGGTTTTTTTTTCCTTAAAGGACCAGAGCTGGGGTGAGTGGGGCAGCCATGGGGGGCTGTGGGGGACTGGGGTTTCATGGCAGAGCCCCCCACACAGCATGGGGCAGTGGGGGGCAGCGGGGATTGCCCCTCACCCAACATCACCTGCTGAGTGAGGTCTTTTTTGTCCCAAATGCTGGGATCTGGGGCAGGCAGGGCAGGCATTGCCAGGCTGGGGGGGATGGGCCTGGCTGATTTGGAGAATCAGCAGCAGCCAAATCTCTGAATCAGATTCAGCTAAATTGATTTGGGACATGATTCGAATCACCAAATCGAATCACTGTCCCCCAAATTGGCTGAATCTGAAGCGAATACTAGCCACCTTGCACAGGCCTACTGTGTTCCCTGCCTGATCTGCTTCTCTTCTTTCTGCTTGCTGCTCTACCTGCCATTGTGCCATCCATCCCCTCCTTGATCTGCCATGTAGCACACACAGAGGCTGCCTGTGTCACCTGTGGCACACATTCTGCAGGTTGGTCATTCCTGCCCTAAAGGGGTGGGCTGGGCTCAGCCCCAGCAGTTTGTTGGAAAGGACAAGCAGAGCTTCTTTAATAACCAGCAATATTATGTATTTCTATACAGTAACAGCAACCAAGAGCTGAGGCAAGAATATTTCAGTACAATTCATTGCCGTGCAAAGACTTGCTCCCTTCCCCGTCCAAGATAGTACATCAGGGTAAATTTAACAGTGAGGCTTATGAGCCCCTCAGAAAAAGTCTGTCCAAAAGACAGCTTAGTCTGTCCTAGTACAACACATGGGGTACTGTACCTTACAAGAAGGCTTGGAAAAACTTTAATTTCTCAGTGTAAAATGTAGTTTTTTCAAGTTCTCCTTGTAACATAATAGAAATATTACTATATTCCTTGGATTCCCTAAGTTTATTTAACATAGAATCCTAAAGGAAATAAGAAAAATGCAGTGTATTTGGAATTACTTAGCTGTCTGGTGTATTTGTTAAAGGAAGTAAATCCATTAAAGACATGTAGCAACTTGTCGTTGCAATACATTTTTATTTCAGCAGCTGGTTGGCTATTTAATGATTCCCTTGGCACCTCAATATCCTCAGTCTCTTTAGTTCTGTGTAACCATCACATCTGGTCTGAAAAATGGACTTTTATTAGGCAGGAAATTCTGACATTGAAAATTTCTTTTCAGCCTGGATGGGAACACAAGCCAAAATGCTTACATTATTCACAGAAAGGAAATTCCAAAAAAAATCACTTTGAGGCCATGCTTAATATCAATAAAATAAAATGCTTAATCCCAACAAAACATGTCAGTTCAATAATATCAAACCGTGAATACGTGTAATAGTAAACATTGTAGTAGGGACTAGCCAGGCCATGCACTTACTGGGGTGATGGCTGCCAGGATGCCCTGCAGGTCAAAGGACTCCAGGCCATCCCAACAGCAATCAGGTAGACAGTGTGCCCCACTGTACACCTCCTCCCCAGGTGGGGTAGGCACATGGTAGATAATGTGCTCTCCATGTGCCCACCCTCCAGGCAGGGCTGAGAGCCAGAAGCTGTGCTCCACCTGGCCTCAGAGCCCAGCCAGGAATGAGAACAGGTGGCCAGCATATCCTCTGCCACCTAGGGCCCAGAGGCCACAGCTGTGGGTGATCATAAGCCTGACAAGGACTCTCAGCAGCACCTGGTGGTAGCTGCAGGGCCTGTGGCGGTATGCAGGGGTCCGGGTTGGCCCAGGCCATCCTGGAATTTCCCTTGTAAGGCAGCACCATCCCAAGAGAAGGGGAGGTGCTGGTGTAGGCGCTGGCCCATGCTTCTTTCCTCCACCAAAGCCAGGGACATCTTACCAGAGACCAGCTCTACCCCAGCCACCACAGCAAGAACATGACCACCCTGCAGATACTGCATGTCAGGTGCCTGAAAAGGCCTCACAGGGGTTCATAGTATCTGTAGCCCCAAACTACCCACAAGGTTTAGCCTGAAACAGGTCTGCCCTGTGAACTAGGCTTGCAACTGGGGGGCAAATCCCAAAAAGCCTCAACCACCTGAAGAGAAGGCAGATGCACACTGCAAGGCTGAAGTGAGGCCCATAAGCAGAGACAGACATGACTATTTACATTATATTGATTTACTAATGTCTACATGGCCCAGGATTTGTTAGCTGTAGACCCTTCCCAGAGTCACAGGGCTTGGCCAGCTCATATCGGTCCAAGGGCACTTGGTTTTTCTTCTCCCATAGGACCTTTTCTGTCAGCATGTTAAGACAGGCACTAGGGAAGGCCAGGCACTTATCCTGATCATCAGTGGGACACCCAAGTGGAAAGGGGTTGGGTGTAGAGGAGGCAGACCTCACAGAAGGGTCCTGAACACTGAGACTTGCACCCATCTCAAAGAACCCCATACAGTCAGATACCAACTCCTGACATCTTTTACCTTAACATCAAGTCATGGTAGGAAGGATATGGTAATAAGGGGATGAAACACACATTGAGACTGTGGTGCCTGGCCCCACCCCAGTGCAGCCCTTCAGCCCAGGTCCCACTATAATGTATATAAATATAATATAGAGATATTACATAATACAAGTTAATATAGAAGTTGAAACACTGCTAACTGGAAGGATAGCAGTAAAACAAAACATATTTCTTATCAAACTGAAATATTGCAATATGAACATGAAATATTTTGGCAAACAAAATGAGAAAATTGAAGTCACTATTCAATTAAAAAGTTGCCAAACCAGT